GCGGGCTGCTGTGTCTTACCTGGCTCCGTGTCCCAGTCCCACAACGATCCAGTCCAGGAGGCGCTGCTGGAGGAGGGGTAGAGAGGTTTGCAGGTCCGGTGTCTTCATTTCCCTGGACGCGATGTGTGGGTGGGATGACATGCCGCCCCTGTCATCTGGCCACACCCTCAGGATCACTGGACAGCCTATGGCAGCTTGTACCTCCCTCTGCAAGCTCCGCCTCCTCACCGGTGATTGGGCGCTAGAACTGTAGCTCAGGAAAGGCACACAGGCGGCCAATTACCTGTGAGGAGGCAGAGCTTTGAGAGGAGGAGCTGAGCGGCAGCACGAAGATCGAGTGAGGGAGCGGCCGAAGCAAGTGAAGAAGACAGCTGACCGGTAAGTGTGCCGTGCAGATGGTGCTGCTGCAACCAGGTATGCTGGCTGTGGATGGGAGAGGGAAGGAGCCTAGGCTGGAGCAGGGGTCAGCAAGGTAAGTGTCACTGGTGTCAATGGGAGGAATAGTGCCCCATCATTAGTGTCACTGATACCAATGATGGGGCACTATTCCTCCCACTGACACCAACAATGGGGCACTATTCCTCCCCCCACTGACACCAACAATGGGGCACTATTCCTCCCCCCACTGACACCAACAATGGGGCACTATTCCTCCCCCCACTGACACCAACAATGGGACACGATTCCTCCCACTGACACCAATGATGGGGCACTATTCCTCCCACTGATACCAATGATGGGGCACTATTCCTCCCACTGACACCAATGATGGGGCACTATTCCTCCCACTGACACCAATGATGAGGCACTATTCCTCCCACTGACACCAATGATGAGGCACTATTCTTCGCACACTGACACTAATGATGGGGCACTATTCTTCCCACACTGACACCAATGATGGGGCACTATTCCTCCCACTGACACCAATGATGGGACACTATTCCTCTCACTGACACCAATGACGGGACACTATTCCTCCCACTGATACCAATGACGGGGCACTATTCTTCCCACTGATACCAATGATGCAGCACTATTCCTCCCACTGATTCCAATGATGGGGCACTATTCCTCCCACTGACACCAATGACGGGGCACTATTCTTCCCACTGATACCAATGATAGGGCACTATTCCTCCCACTGACACCAATAATGGGGCACTATTCCTCCCACTGATACCAATGATGGGACACTATTCTTCCCACTGATACCAATGATGGGGCACTATTCCTCCCACTGACACTAATAATGGGGCACTATTCCTCACACACTGATACCAATGATGGGGCACTATTCTTCCCACTGATACCAATGATGGGGCACTATTCCTCCCACTGATACCAATGATGGGGAACTATTCCTCCCACTGACACTAATGATGGGGCACTATTCCTCACACACTGACACTAATGATGGGGCACTATTCCTCCCACTGATACCAATGATGGGACACTATTCTTCCCACTGATACCAATGATGGGGCACTATTCCTCCCACTGACACTAATGATGGGGCACTATTCCTCCCACTGATACCAATGATGGAGCACTATTCCTCCCACTGATACCAATGATGGAGCACTATTCCTCCCACTGACACTAATGATGGGGCACTATTCCTCACACACTGACACTAATGATGGGGCACTATTCCTCACACAATGATACCAATGATGGGGCACTATTCTTCCCACTGATACCAATGATGGGGCACTATTCCTCCCACTGACACTAATGATGGGGTACTATTCCTCCCACTGATACCAATGATGGGGCACTATTCCTCCCACTGACACTAATGATGGGGCACTATTCCTCACACACTGACACTAATGATGGGGCACTATTCTTCCCACTGATACCAATGATGGGACACTATTCTTCCCACTGATACCAATGACGGGGCACTATTCCTCCCACTGACACTAATGATGGGGCACTATTCCTCCCACTGATACCAATGATGGAGCACTATTCCTCCCACTGATACCAATGAAGGAGCACTATTCCTCCCACTGACACTAATGATGGGGCACTATTCCTCACACACTGACACTAATGATGGGGCACCATCATATGTCACTGTATAAATGTAGTTAGCATTTTATATAATAATATGACTTGTAGCATATACTGTATATTTATAGATTGCAACAGTAGCTCTTTAACACTGTCCAGCAATTCAGGTACACCAGCTAACCAAGCAGATTTGACTATAGGACTACAAGTGGCTCTTTGATTTATGTAGCATACTCTATTCCTGACACCCTGAAACCTGAAGTCTTCTACAGCTGAAATGTCATTGGATACTTTAAATTGAGATTATCATATAATATTAGGATTTAACAAGTATGTTTTGTCATAAGATTCGCTGGCACCGCACAGGTAGTTGTAAGAACATTCTCATTAGCACATACAGGGCACCTAAAACAAGCAATGAAAATAAACAATGAAACAACTTCCGTATCTGCCAAACTAACCTCTAATTTCTTTCCTGGCGTCTAAACATACAACTGCTGGAAACAATAGGAATTTTAAATTCAATGCAGAGTACTGTTCTCTGGGTAAAATGACAGAACAGGAACATAACAATGATACATCCATTTCTCATTGGTAAACAAGGCATCTAAATTGCTCATAGCTTTTGTTATTCTGAAATAGAAATGCACTTTGCAACACTTCCTCTATATCAGAGAATGCAGAATTAAAGTGGACACATTTTCAAACCAGAACTTAGTTTTGGATAGTACATGTAAGGTTCAGAACCTCTGTAATTTTTTTTTAAGTTGTGTCCCCATTGAGGTGAATAACTTTTACTTTACACTTTGACAACAGTCAACAGCTCCTTCTTTAACTAACAAAAATAACGTTGACCATACAAACTTAGATGTCTTATCAATCATGTAATAAAATCAGATCTAGTTGTTGTAATTAATGTAGATCAAAAATGTTTGCAATTTTTATTTAACTGCGTAAATCGCTTCCCATTTATTTCTATCCTGAAAATGTAATTTATGACTTGTCCAGCTGCTGTTGTTGCACTTAAAGCCTTTAACCAATGTAATCAAAGGACGAAGATTTGAGATTAGAGAATGGAAATTGCAACCACAAATAAGGAATTACAAAGATGGTGTAATTCTAAGACTGAAGCTCCCTACTTGGAAAATGAGCTGGATAACAATCCATCCACAAGACAGCATTGTCAAAGGGATTTAAAATAATCAACTCATCAATGTGAACCAGATTTTCAGTGTGTACGCAGTTGTATCACTCAAATGCCACCAATATTAGTCATTTCTTGGAAAAAAAACATCTCATTTTGTGTTTCTTTGCATATGTTATGGTAAGTAATACAGATTCAGGTTCAGATTGGTGACCCTTGATATACCATTACGTACTACATATCATAATTACTTTGAATTTATAGAAGGCTGGGAAGGAGACGAGAAGATAAACAGCATATTAAAAGGAACTGTCCACGTCAAAAAGAAATCTGTTTATGTGCTACTTGTCACAGTAATTGGGTTTCTAAGATTCAGTCAGCCTTATAGTAATACAACCCTTCCCTTCCTCCATTTTAGACAAGAACATTTCAAAACATTGTTTTTCTGCAGACTGCCTGTCAAACGCAAAAAAAAAAAGAAAAAAAAAAAGTTTTTACGACAAATTTTCATTAGATAATCTATTTGAAAAAAATATTACAGGCCAGTTTTTCAAACCTATAGAAGTTACGGACTTCTAATAAATGACCAAAGGTATTTCAACCTCTATGTTTGGTCAGAATGGCTTTAGAACATTTATTTGAAAGATTTACCTGACAAGCCCTTAAAACAGAAAGAATTAATTTATTTTCACTGTGACCACAAAATACCTTGTATGACCTTACTCCAAGCAATTGTGATCACCTGCTCCATACTGGAGTATATTTTAGATAAAAAAAAGCCTACTTTTTAAAGTGGAGGCTTTTTTTCGTCAAAGTAAGTTTTGAGTAGAGGGAGACTGCAAAGTTGAAGTCACACCTGAACCTACCCAAAACTAATTTTAGCCAGGAAGAGTTCTACCCAGTTTTTCCAACAGTACAACAACAGAATGACTTCCAACCATGACTCTAAGCCAATTTGGTTCTTCCATGATTTTGTATTCTCTATATATTCCTGTGAAGAATCTACTAAGGGAACTAACAACAAGGAAAAGTTGCAAATATATATTAACATGTCAGCAGTAATATCATATACACTATATTGCCAAAAGTATTGGGACTCCTGCCTCTACACGCACATGAACTTTATTGACATCCCAGTCTTAGTCCGTAGGGTTCAACATTGAGTTGGCCCACTCTTTGCAGCTATAACTTCAACTCTTCTGGGAAGGCTGTCCACAAGGCGTGTGTCTATGGGAATGTTTGACCATTCTTCCAGAAGTGCATTTGTGAGGTCAGGCACTGATGTCAGACGAGAAGACCTGGCTCACAGTCTCCGCTCTAATTCGTCCCAAAGGTGTTCTATCGGGTTGAGGTCAGGAGGTTCTAGTGAAGGCCAATCAAGTTCCTCCACCCCAAACTAGCTCATCCATGTCTTTATGGACCTTGCTTTGTGCAGTGACTGCTACGCAGTCATGATGGAACAGGAAGGGGCCATCCCCTAACTGTTCCCACAAAGTTGCGAGCATGAAATTATCCAAAATGTCTTGGTATACTGACGCCTTAAGAGTTCCCTTCACTGGAACTAAGGGGCCAAGCCAAACCCCTGAAAAACAACCCCATACCATAATCCCCCCTCCGCCAAGCTTTACACTTGCACAATGCAGTCAGGCAAGTATCGCTCTCCTGGCAACCGCCAAACCCAGACATGTCCACAGCATTACCAGAAAGAGAAACATGGATTGTCACTCCAGAGAACATGTCTCCACTGCTCTAGAGTCCAGTGGCGGCATGCTTTACACTACTACATCCAACGCTTTGCATTGCACTTGGTGATGTAAGGCTTGGATGCAGCTGCTTGACCATGGAAACCTATTCCATGAAGCTCTCTATGCACTGTTGTTGTGCTAATCTGAAGGTCACAGGTAGTTTGGAGGTCTTTAGCTATTGACTTTACAGACAGTTGGTGACTTCTGTGCACTGTGTGCTTCAGCATGTGCTGACCCTGCTCTGTTATTTTACGTGACCTACCACTTCGTGGCTGAATTGCTGTTGTTCCCACTTTGTTATAATGCCAATAACAGTTGACCGTGGAATATTTAGTAGCAAGGAAATTTCATGGTTGGACTTATTGCACAGGTGGCAACCTATCACTGTACCACGCTTGAATTCACTGAGCTCCTGAGAGCAACCCATGCTTTCACAAATGTTTGTAGAAGCAGTCTGCATGCCTAGGTGCTTGATTTTATAGACCTGTGGCCATGGAGGTGATTGGAAAATCCGAATCCAATCATTTGAAGGGGTGCCCCAATATTTTTGGCAATATAGTATACATTTGGGATAGAATAACATTTTCTTTTGGAAATACAAACCTGTGAAAGTATAAATAGTATATTCTGTTTAATAAGTTTAATATAGAGCAGGCAACAAAAATTTAAAGAAAATTTAAACCCACAATTTCATATGTGCCTGCTGTACTATGTACTTGTAAGAAAAAGTAGAAGTACATATGTATAAGCATATATGTGCACACATGAACATGTATAGTGCACATACAGTTGTGTTCAAAATAATAGCAGTCAGACATCACTAACCTGATCAATCACTGTTTTTGGTAGAAATGATATTTCTACATGGCAAATAATTTACTAGCAGGTGTAGTAGAGTAATAGAAATCCAACAGACCCAACAGTCATGACATGCATGCTGCTGATTCTGTGTAATTGAATCACTAATTGAAAGGGGCATCTTCAAAATAATAGCAGTGTGGAGTTCTTTTAGTGAGGTCAGTCATTCTTTGAAAAACAGGTGGCAATTATTGCCCTTATTTAAGGATGGAAGGCAGCAAATGTTGTACATGCTGGTTACAGTGCATTTCTCTCTGAAATTCTGAGGAAAATGGGTCATTCCAGACATTGCTCAGAAGAACAGCGTACCTTGATTAAAAAGTTGATTGGAGAGGGGAAAACATATAAAGAAGTGCAGAAAATGATAGGCTGCTCAGCTAAAATGATCGCAAATGCTTTAAAATGGCAACCAAAACCTGAAAGATGTGGAAGAAAGCAAAAAACTACCATTTGAATGGATAGAAGAATAGCCAAAATGGCAAGGACTCAGCCAACAATCAGCTCCAGGAAGATCAAAGAAGGTCTAAAGTTACCTGTGAGTACTGTTACAATTAGAAGACGCCTATGTGAAGCCAAGCTATCTGCAAGAAGCCCCCTCAAAATCCCACTGTTGAAAAAAAGACGTGCTGAAGAGGTTACAATTGCCAAAGAGCACATTGACTGGCCTAAAGAGAAATGGCGCAACATTTTGTGGACTGATGAAAGTAAGATTGTTCTTTTTGGGTCTAGGGGCCGGAGACAGTTTGTCAGACGACCCCCAAACACTGAATTCAAGCCACAGTAAACTGTGAAGACAGTGAAGCATGGTTGCGCAAGCATCAGGATATGGGGATGTTTCTCATACTACGGTGTTGGGCCTATTTATCGCATACCAGGGATCATGGATCAGTTTGAATACATCAGAATACTTGAAGAGGTCATGCTGCCTTATGCTGAAGAGGAAATGCCCTTGAAATGGGTGTTCCAACAAGACAACAACCCCAAACACACCAGTAAACGTGCAACATCTTGGTTCCAGACCAACAAGATTGACGTTATAGAGTGGCCAGCCCAATCCCCGGATCTTAATCCAATAGAAAACTGGAGTGACATCAAAAATGCAGTTTGAGGCAAAATCAAGAAATAAAGAAGAACTGTGGAATGTAGTCCAATCATCCTGGGCTGGAATACCTGTTCACAGGTGCCAGAAGTTGGTTGACTCCATGCAACACAGATGTACAGCAGTTCTCAGAAACAGTGCTTATACAACTAAATATTAATTAAGTGATTCAAAGGAAAGCAAAATCTTCAACCATTTTTCAGTTTATATAGTGAATGTTTGAGTTTGTAAAGAAGAATGCAAACACTGCTATTTTTTTGAACAGTCTAATATTCACTTTTCTTCAATTTTTTTTAGAGGAACAACACAAATTTGATATATTTTTCTTCATGTTTTGATTTGGAATAGAATGTGTAGTGTTCCCAATGCATTTGTGTGTATGGAAATAAAAGCTATTAGAAGTATTTTGAGCTTTATTCACTTTTTTCAACATACTGCTATTATTTTGAACACAACTGTATGTACTTGACTTAAAAATGGATGAAAAGGTTAGACCACAAGTTGGAGCCCCTAAAGGTCTCAATGAAGAAATCAAGATCCACACGATTTTTTAGTCCTTAATAAAGAGCTCCAACTTTTTCATCCATTTTTGAGTCCAGTACATGAGTGTACTATACATGTTCATATGTGCACGTATATACATATACATATGTGTATTTACACATATATAAAAAGTCTTGTAATGTTCACCCCTTTACTTACCATTGCCTACCATATTTTAGGTTCCGAGACACCGTATTTTCCCACCTCCATCCCATCTGGGTGGGTAAGTAAAGTTTTCATAAGGGAACACATTTTATATATATATATATATATATATATATATATATATATATATATATATATATATATATATATATATATATATATATATGTGTGTCAGGGCTCCCAGGTGTGACCAGAGGTGTGTGACTGACGCAGGGAAACGCAGACTTCAGATATGTGATAAACAATATAATTTATTAACACTAACAATACAAACATAAACGCAGTGCAATACTAAACATAATACAGTGCAAACAAACCAAACCAACCACCCACAGATAACAGTACATACAAGCAAGCGTCGTCAGGCAGGCCGGGTCAATATCAATTGGGCAGGTAGGTACAGGGGGAGCAAGCGGAGATTGGTCGGGGTCACAGGCCAGGTTCAGCAGGTAGCAAGCAGCGTAGTACAGAGGGTCAGGCAGAGGGATGGTCAGGGTCACAAGCCAGGGATCAGAACAGGTAGCAAGCAGCGTAGTACAGAGGGTCAGGCAGAGGGATGGTCAGGGTCACAAGCCAGGGATCAGAACAGGTAGCAAGCAGCGTAGTACAGAGGGTCAGGCAGAGGGATGGTCAGACAAGCCAGGGATCAGAGCAGGGTCAGCAGAGAATCAGACAGGAACAGAGAGCAGGAACAGGATACAGGGCCCAAGAGAAACACAACACCAAGGCAGAGTCTGCAAGTCTGGCCATCCCTTAAATACCCCAGCATAATCAGTTCCAGGTGTTAGCTGGCTGCAAAGTTGAGTCTCTGATTGCTGGGAGCACCCGCTGGCCAGCCCTGGTACTGCAGATCAAAAGGCAGGTGAGTCCCACCATTGCTGGCTAGTCCATTCCTGACAGTGTGTGTGTGTTTTATACACGCACATATATTTATGTGTTTTAGCTCATGTATTTAGGGTATAAATTATTGTGTATATGTAATGATTCTATATAATACCATTAATATATACATGCATACGTCAATCATATAATTAGATCCCATATGACCATATGTCTGTGTATATTCATAATGATACACTCTTTTAATTCCAATCTTAATTCATTTTTTATTTAATTCATTCCATGCACTTATTTATTCCGTGCAGAAATGTTTTTAGTCTTGTTGTTTAATCTTTTTCATTTGTTATTTAGTATTAGATGTGCAGATAACATCCACATGCTATTGTTAATTTGATGCTATTTTAATTCTCCTAATTTCATTACATTTTTTCTTGTATTCATGGCATATTATGTGATCTATTAAGTTGACCATCAAACAGTGTCCTCTTTAGGTATGGCCACACCTTTGTTCCCGTACTCCTTTGCCCAACCCCTCCCCATGCTGATCCATTTAAGATGCCCATTTCCACTTGCTAATCAGGTCTGAGGAAGAAGCTGAAGCTTTGAAACGTGTTACCGCCCATTTACGACATCACATTTTTGCTGACGTCACGTCCGCTCTGGCGCCATCTTGCGTTTCACACTGGTTAATGCGGCAATCGGCCGCACTAGGATGCTCTTCCTGCTCCACAACTCAGCTACGCGCAGACCACCTGGTATCGACCACCCCTAGGGGATCCGGACATAACATTGACATGCCTGTCATTGCCTACTTTTCAGTGAGTTGGCAGTTGTATGTCTTTAATATATTCTACTATTAATGCTGCACTTAGTCTGGTGCCCCTCTTCTTCCTTCTACTTACAGAGTTTCAGCTTTGCCCTAAGGGTGCTGCCGCTGATGCCGCCTATTTGTGCTCCCTCTTGGATTTTCACATGGTCTCCCATAGGGACTTAATATGGACTTTAAACTATAACAAAACACCCCTCCAGTGCCAATTATTATTCTTTTTGTAAGAAAAAGTATTCTGTTCTCTTTGTATTGCTTCCTTTTTATGAAATCCTTAGTGTTCCTTTCAGTCCCTCTAATTTACTATTAAAAACTGACCACTCTAGGTATGAGAGCAATGCGTGGTCAGTTCTCTAGCTATGCTCGTAACTCAGCCTGTTCTCTAATGATCAGCCTTGTCCTCCTACACCCCTCCTACACAGCCTTTCACTGGAAAGATTTGTGTTCTGCTGTTCCTCCACTCCCAGCTTTTATGCAGCTGAGAACAGAGGGTATGCGATAACTTACAAAAAAAGGGAAAGAAAGAGTTTTTAATGTTTTCCTATATGTATACATACATGTTTTGCTTTTCACTTTTATTTTAAACTGAATGGGTTGTTTCAGTTTGAGGGCTTGCAATCACCTTAATACACTGCAGAAATGTGTAAGCCTTGCACCAATACTTTACTGCTTCATGCTCAGGGTAATCTTATCAAAGGTTTTAAAAGAGAAATATGGCCAATGTTCTTTTGGCCATACTTTTCAAGGGAGTGCACATAGTTCTGCTCTCATGCAACACAGAATCAGCCAACAGTGGGCTAAAGGCTGATGTTCGTTGATATCACAGAGCCAATCCAGACTCTGGAGAGATCCTGACAATAATGTTGGGATCCAACCAGATATCTCACAGGCAGGTGTCTCAACCTTTTAGTGCACCGCTGAGAGCTGGAGCCAGCTGTTCTCGCCACTTCCCATTCCAGTGCTCCAGTGAGCACTGGAGGGGCAAGGCACAGTCACCGCTCTGTATTCACAGCAGAGCTGAGAACTAAGCGATCAGAAGTCATGTGATTACTCAGTTCTCAGGCTTAAAGTCAGCTTTGATGCACATACTGTAAATATGTATGTTTGTTTTTTTATATTCATGCACTTC